GACCAGGTCCGCTCTTAAATGTTTGGAAATATTGAGCAACATTTCAGTGGCAGTAAACCTTGGCAGGAGAGTTGTATTATTATTATTATTATTAATTATTATTATTATTATTATTATTATTCTAGTTTTAACTTAAGGATGATTAAGATGAGGTTTTTGATGGGTCACTTTCAGTTGTGTATATGTACGTGATTTAGTTTTTAAAAGTTTAATGTTTAACTTTCTGTATTCTTCTAATTCTTCTTTATCAGTCCCCTATTGATGGATTTTCCTCTTAAAAACTACATTTTCTTCTAGACGCTTTGTGTCTGATGATGGAGAATAAATTTCTCATCTGCAGTATAAAGTTGATATGAGAAAAAAATGTTTACTCTGGCTCCTCACTTGGCTTCTGTAAAATGTACTTAATAAAATAATATGGGCAACTCCAAATATTAATCCTGACCATGTATAACAGAATCGTGTACAGTAACAGCAAAAATAAGTTACTGTCATTTTACTTAATCATTTCTTGTTTGAGACTAAGGAGAAGTGAACGATATTTATAAATAATAACTTGATAACTCAGATCACTTTCGTTAAATGTCCTTTAATATTTGGTACCTGGTTTATGTTATCCCTTATACTCCTTGTCTTCTTTCTTTAAGCAATCAGATTTCCCTGTGACTGTGACGGTAGAGAGTCCTTCGTCCTCAGAAATCGAAGAAGTCGATGACTCGTCAGAAAGTGTTCATGAAGAGCCTGAGAAAACCAGTTTAAGACAAGAAGCATTACAGGTACAAAGTTACCACTTTAAAGATATAGAGGAGATTATTTTCCACACTGTAATTGTTATCTGGTGGAAGCCTGGTTACAATCCTAGACAGCTTGCCTGAGGTGGTTTTCCACGCCCATCTGTGTCATATCCCCTTGAATGGTTCCTTAGCTTAGACCAAGGGGAAAATGGACATTTGAACTCTAAGAAGTGAAAATCAAAACATGTCATCAGTAATATATTTTCTTTTCCTTACAACCATAAAACATATTAGATGTATGGAGAACCTTAATGATCATAAGATAAACTCTAAGAAATTGAGTT